TATTTATACGACTAGGTCGACTGCTATGGAAAAAGGCGATTAAGAAAATGAATGTGCTCGGGTAGTGATAAGCTTTTATGGTGTCTATAATTCCTGACAGGGTGTTGACAGGATGCCACCGTTGGTATTTTTAATAGAGATGCCTTTAAGAACTCGCGTCTTCATTCTAGAAAAACAGTTTTTATGACTCTCACGAGCTATTGTTGATCATAAGGGGGGGGGGCTGAAAGTACCTATACTATAATACAAAGGAATTGCTTTAACGTCTCTGATCTTTGATGTACGAAGCACGCTATCACCAAAGCGGTAGAGTTTGTGGAATATGCCTTCCATTAGCCCCCAGGAAGACTTGCCAGGGTCCTCCGATGTAGAACTCAACGCTCCGAAGCGAGTCCGGTACCAGTTAGCATCAGTAACGGCTGAAAAAAGGAAAACACTCCGAAATGCAATATATATTTAAATAATAGGAAGTTAAAGTGGGGCGGGGTGTAAGGGGGCTCCTGGAGAATATGTCATCAGCACCGCCCTACACGGATGTAGTTTGTGACAAATCGTGAGAACGGATACGCTCAGGACACCGTTTGGAACGGAAGCTTCAGGTGAAATAACCACCGTGGGTGTCAGGTGAGAGGCTGAGAATACGTTGTGTAACAAGCGAAAAAATGGGGAAAAAACGAAAGTATCACCTCCGATTCCTTTTTCCTGTTCTGTTCTCCCTTTTTATCTGGGCTACGATACTCTAGTGAGTAGCCAACCGAGTTCACTGGTTCTCGTGGCCTAAGAAGATATCAGCCAAAAAGCCAAATATAGATAAACTTATAGCTCTTTGCGGTTACTGATTAAGAGAAATAACATAATATTTCACACATCAATCTTTGATTTGTTTTCTGTTTACGGTTTGATTTGTCTGAAAATTTTTCCCAAGATTTTTCTCGAAGATTCGTAAAGAAAAACGGGTGGCTTTCGATATGTTCTTTCTAGGACTATTGACGAGTGAGAGAAGTCGGGAAATAGCTGATCTTGTACTTTTAAAGGCATGGTTCACGATAAAAAAAGTTCTCCCTTTAGGAATACTCAGCGCGTCCCATACGTGGTAGAAGGGACCCTCTCGCTCCCATTCCGGCGCTTAGGGCATACTGGAAGCCGTAGCTGTTGCTGCCGTAATTGGCTTTGACGCCCCTCGATGTCACGTTAGACAAGTGTCGAAAGAATACAGATTGCTATTATTCGTTCTAGGACCCACGCGCAATCAGCTAATCGCCGAGTGATGAGGCGATGTTTTTCTCCCATTCTTTTTCCTCTGTTTTTCTTTTTGCTGCCGCGATCCCTTATTTAATTTCCTACCCCGAGAGGCTGAAAAAGGTGAGCTACTTTTGCTGTTGCTAGGGGTTTTTTGTTTACTTATGCTTATGAGTGGATGAATTTTTGCTTACCATAGTCTGTTATTCGCATCAAGACCCACACGTACGCAGCGAGACACATTGTATAGCTCGTCCAAACGCCCCACTCTTCTTCATATTTCTTGTTTCATTCTCGTCCAGCCCCCTTTTTAAGGTTTTTCGAAGCTTTTTTTCACTTTGGAAACACCGATCCATGCAGTTTCTCCACCTTCATCGCACTATTTTCGATCTTTTCTACCATTTTCATCATAGTCTGGATTACCCTAAATTATAGTGAGCTGTGCCTTCAAATAAGGTAACGTGAGTGCCTATCTCCCGTCTATCGCAGTATGGTAGAGCTTGAAGTCGGAATGAAATCAGTTGTTCTTCAGTTGAGGGCTCTATTAATTCAGTTGACGGTGGACGCAGACTTTGGAGAACACGTTATCGTACTCAAGGTTCAGTACTTGTTTAGTTCTCTTGTCCTTCATCCTTCCATTACCTCTCTCTCATCCTCTTTTCTTCCAGCCATCGTCGTTCGAATCTTCAATATTCTAAACCACTCCTCTCTACTTCTACACAAAAAACGGGGTCGTATTTGAGAAGCTAAGTTACAGCCATAACGAATGGCATGGTGTGCGATAACATTATGGACCTCCTTTGCATCACTTCTCTGCTGGCTTTTGCCCTAAACAATTACCCATATGATTTCGATTATGAGCCTGATAATGTCAGCCTTATGATTTCGTTGCGATTCTCTTTGGGAATGTTTTTATTTTTCGCTGGTGTTGAAATGGTCACCTGGCTGTCCGGCTTTGATAAGAAAACGCTGATAAGGACATCAGGTAACTCGCGAATCAGTTCGTAGGATGTGCAGGAATTTGCATGGTCAGCGTCGAGAAATTCCAAGAATTTGCCAATACTACTCCAAAGTTGGGCATCCTTTGGGCAACAGAATGGAAAAATGACTAGGCATATTAAAATAATAACCTGGCCCTTACGCTGAACTCAAGCAAACCTCAAAACAATTCAATTTGTGGCTATCCTGGGCACTTTTGCACTCGAACGGTTTCTGATGAACTCTTCACAGATGAGATTGCAGCCCATGAAGGGCAATTTGCAAGCTTTCTTTTTTTGCAACCTAAATGCTCAACTTATTTACTAGTTAACTCGAACGTCAGCCAGTTCAAGAAGGATTTTCAAGGTACGTACTCAATCATGCCTACTACAATCCTGGATGGGTGGCGAGCACATGGCGCATTCCGATCGGGATGGCACAACAGCGAACGCTCCTACTCTTTATCTTTCCTTCAGATTCTTCCTATATTTCTTAGCAGTGAGTCATGACACGATTCCGTTGATAGTAGGTAATATCTATTGTTAGAGTAAAGTAACTCGTTGTGTTGTCATGACTACCAACAACGGTAAAAGAGACATGAAAGCATCCCTCTGAGATAGGATAGCTCAGAGGGAGGCGGCAGACTCAAAGTGGGTATTACTTCAATGGCTATTCATTAAGGTGTGAGAAGAAGAGTGAGCTGATAAGTGACAGTAGCATCAATGAGGCACGTATTCCCACACCTATACTCCTAGTATCGTAGCATTTCGCTCGATTCCCCCACAACTCATGGATTACTGGTCTTCGACAAAAGTTATTTGCCCATTTTTACTTAGTATTACTACTCTGTTGATTCTTCAAGTTCATCATTCCTATGCAGTATTCAATATCAAGGTATCATTACTGACTGATCCAACTTACAACTATGCACGATCGGTACTCGAAACTGCCCAAAAAGACCTCCTCAATTCGAATCCACCTCTTTCACCTGACTTCACATTTGGGTAAGTTACTCTGAGACGAATTTCATTTAACAGAGAAGATCAACAGAATCCTTTCCTTCNCTATACTATTGGTTCGAAACCCATCCGAAGCCGAATTTTGTTCATATCTCGCCAACCTTGTTGACCTTTTTCAGCTTCCTGGGCTTTCAAGCTGCTCCTCACGAGAATTTCTACAATTTTAAGAACACCGTATGTAACAAAATACAGCTGTCGAAATTCTTACTTTTGCCATGATTTGAAAAAATGAAGAGGACATTCGTTCGTTACAAACAATGATTTTTTACAGTAAATGTGGCTACGATTAATATGGGGAATAGCTCAAAATAAAATATAGCTATTACAGTAATAATTACCAGATTAGTTCATAGAGGTTTCAGGTTTTCCTCAAATCAATTTGCCCTTACAATCGACTCACAATCAGTTGAACCAACTTTCTCGGTACCCAGGAATAAACAGGAGCGTTTTAGGATGAAGTGTTTTTTCGCAGAGGCGCTTTGCTGCTGAATGAATCGGTTCCTACTATGACAGTAGGATCCATGTCCCAAGGAGAATCTTTGATTGGAGCATTAATCGGCTCATATACCTGGTGGACATCAAGGAATGCCCAGAGTCTCTTTTGCGGGGGAATGCCACTCCTGCAGAGGGCTCAGCATTGTTATTTTAGTAGAGCGACTTTGTTATTTTAGTAGAGCGACTTGAAGCAACTAATCTAGAAGTCACAACTGTGGCCACCTAGCTAACTCCGACCTCGTTAAAATACATAGGCAGGGCCAAGCGTTGTTATGGCACAATAGGTGGGTATCCCATAAAGAGGAAGCGACATGGGATTGGGAAAAGAAAAATGTGTGCGAACGAAATATGAAATAATTTGTTTCCTCGGTATTTTTGGCTATTAGTCAGTTCACATTCTTCATGGGTGCCCATCTGAGCCATCGCAATAGTTGAGCCTATTTCCAAGATCATGCAGAAACTTTGAGCTCAAATACTATTTTCATATTTTAACAAAGTCTCTGAGGTACAAAGTTGATTATGACCGGAAATTTGCCCAAACTCATTGGCACAAGTTTCCTTTAGGATCTTAGTGGATTCAAGCAAATGTGAAGTTGGCATCAATTCTCTTTCATCGTTGGCTACACTTGCACAAAACTATTATCAGGACAATTCTCAGGCAGTCTTCGGGCCGACCTGCTATGATGGTAAGGTTCGATTTCCTCAATTGATACAGTCTACATTGAGGGAGATAGCCACTTACTGAGTTTATACTGTTATTTTATCGCTTCTCCCCTTCTGCCATTGCTTAGTGCAGGAACACTTCAAATGACGGCGCATCCCAATTGAAAGTAGCCGCACGGAAATGGAACCCCTTTCAAAGCATGGACTGAAACATCAACTCAGAGTCGATCTCTGTTTACACAACCAACCTATCTTGCCAAGAACCTGTCATCTGTTCCCGTGAAGCCAGAGTTCATCCAGGACTCCTTTATCTTAGCCACGTCCAGACACACCCTCATACCCAAACCTGGCGTTGCTCTCAAGTTGAGTGAGGCGCCAGCCCCAGCTCCATGTCGAAGCACATCTTTTGCAGATTGGCCGTCACACCATTTATGACTGGTGGAGGTGGTGTAGTGGCAAAGAACGCACTTCACGTACGCATGGTCACGGGTTCGAATCCCGGATAGATCCCCACCCAGGCCCACCAAGCCTTCTATCCTCCGGGGCCAATGGCTAGTTGGTATCAGATCGTCTGGGAGGATAAAAGCAGTGACCTGTACATCGGCTGGCCACCGCAAGTCATTGTATAAGCCACGTACGCATTCATTACGCCACTACGATTCTAAACAGAAGTCGAATGCTGGGCGCACCCCTTAGATGGGATTGATTGATGCCAAAATTCTGTCCCTTTATTTCTTATGATTGTTTACAGATATTCCGGACGTTGCTGGTTTATCGGTGGATTTTGATATTCTCCAATTCAATGTATTTGGCGATAACATAATTGTCAATGAGGAAAATAACATTGTCCAGGTGGGATCCTTCCGCGACTTCTACTGATTTGGTAAAATACCAGTTACCATTTATTCCTCTAGTAAATTTCTACAGATGATGACGAGATCCACTTTCAACATTGCTGAAAATGTCNGATAACATAATTGTCAATGAGGAAAATAACATTGTCCAGGTGGGATCCTTCCGCGACTTTTACTGGTTTGGTAAAGTAGCAGTTACCATTTATTCCTCTAATAAATTCCTATAGATGATGACGAGATCCACTTTCAACATTGCTGAAAATGTCCTCGCCGTTTTAAAAGCAGCCAAATGGGATCAGGTACGGTTGCTGTTCTTAAGTCCACGATACTACTTAATTATTACTCTACTGGTATGGCCTACGGAACCCTAGTCCATGAATCAAAGAGGTTCGAAACTCCACACCAACGACAACGCTCGCATGGGATGCGGACCCTAGACTAGAGTTGGATATTTCTTTAATCTGATCCCTCCAAGGAAATCCAGACTCATGACAAATTATCGTGAACTGTGCCTTCAGGTTATCAGCCTTTACCGCCAAGTAGAATAGGAAAAAGTTGCAAAAAGGAACAGGACTCCCCCTGTTATGCTTTCCTTGTGATATACGTGATACCAAGGCCTCCGAAATGGTACAGCTTACAAGTGTAGCCGACCCTACACGTGCGCGGGGTTTAGGCTAGGGAGAAGAAGAGGACTATGACTTGTGAGACCCAGCCATTACTGTCATACACCGATGTTGCCCCTTTGATGAGAAGCCTGTTGGCAGTACAGGGCCAGCAAGGAAAGCTTACTTTCAAATCTCTAACCACAGAGACTCCAAACTTTCACCATGAACTACTCATTTTAGATTGCCATTGTCACGTGTGGAGACTGTTATAACGATTTATCCGATGTGCAGGCTAGGTTGGTTCTGTTGAATGAATTTGATCAGGTAACTGGTTCATATCCAAATCGACCGCAGCATTCGATTCATGAGAGCGAGACCAGTGCCTGGAAAACCAGCCCACTCATATATTGAAAACAATAGATCATATTTATTGTTTTAGGGAGTACAACGTTTCGAGTTATCTGGCAGCAAACGGCATAAGAATACTAACTCAGATCACATATTCCAAGTACTGGAACGCTACCTACTTGGCCGACATGGTTGTGTTGCTAGCTCAAACCAGTCGAGGTATGAAGCTCTTTCTCTGTAATGATGTAGTTCTTCTGAAAGAGAAACCATTCCAAGACCCTGTCCTGATCCTCATTTGACTCAATGAATCGGAAAAAATCCCTAAAAATAAAAAACCCTCAAAAATCGAATTGAAACAATGACTACGTGGAGTGGCAAGCGCATTCGCTTCATCACTGTGCTGGCATTCGTTTCAGTGGCATGCTTTGATGGGAGACGGGCGTTAGGAACGATTTTGGGTAATCGATTCGCCGCACGCGGCCGTCGCGGACCACTCATCCGCCGTCAATACAGCTCTAGCGTTCTTCATACAGCTCAATCGATATGCGATCAGTATTTTATGCGTAATTCTACCATTGGAACTCTTGTTCTTGTATTTCTTACCTACTGCTGCATCCTGCTACATTCCTTCGCGCGCGACGCCCCTCTCACCGCGACGCGACTATTTCGTTCCTAACGCACCACACTCTACCTGACCATGAGAGCAATCTAGACGATAACCACCAATTACTAGTCAAAGCAGGGTGCTCTGACTAGTAATTGGTGGCATCGTCTGGATTGTTCTCATGGTCAGGTATAAAAGAGATGATTTTATGGGCGGCTGGAGCAACTTCATGAAATCCCATAAAACATTAACAAAATTCTAGAACTGAGCGAATTTGAATAGAGTAACGGGAAAGGCCACCAGATGTCGGACTTGGATGCTGTTCGACTTTAATTTCTTTTCTCCTGAAAATTATAAACGTTCCAGAACCGAATGACCTAGATCTACCTATATTGGATCTAATAAAAACGCATTTTGATAGTTTCACTGCTGAAAAAAAAACATAAATATCCATAAAAATTAATTGAAACATTCATAAATGTGACCAAAAATGGCATTCATAATACTAGTCCAAACTAAATCAGAAAGAAGTGTATTAATCAAATCAAATTTCCGAATTTCTCATGAAACTACGGTCTCAGGCTGATCGTTTTGGTATCCGTCCCAGATTATCGAAGAGGCTATCAGGAGATATTTAAGATGACTTTACTGGCTTCACAACCCACAGCAGTCTAATCAATCCCATGGTGATCCTGAGCGGAAGGCAACCAGTACATCTATTCGCAACATGATTAATGAATCACAATTTTGTCGTTCTGTTAGAACGATTCTCGACCTAAAA